CAGTGGTCACCAACCAGTGGATTGCGATCGACCGGTAGATCTTGGAGCCTCCTGGAGTCAATATGAGGCTGGGGCTGGGGGGCTGAGTGCCTGAGTGCCTGAGTGCATGCACCCCAGCCCAGCAGGTCAGTCCATGGGGGAGTGAAGGAGCAGGTGCTAGATTGCAGCCCTTGCAGTGAGGGACAGGGCTGCAGAGGCAGGAGCAGTGGTAAGTTGAGTGAGGCCCTCCCACCCAGCCAGGGCCCCACTCAACTTACCACTGCTCCTCCCTCTGCCTCAATCTGCCCCTCCCCTTCCCTCCCCACAGACTTACCTGCTGGGCAGGGGCAGGTGGGGGAGTTGCAGCGGTGCATGGTAGATCTTGGGTTTCTTTTAAATGCCAAAGGTGATCTCCTACTTAAAAAAGGTTGAGACCACTGGGCTACCAGAAGTTGGGGGGCAGGGTTAGGGACACAGCCTGTTGCAGAATTCAGGGCTCTTGGTCCCCAATGGACATGGCCACTGATGGCAGGGGGGTGAGTAAAGACTGTCCAGACCCCTGCCACTATAACCACTACAGCTGTTGCTAGCCCCACGGATTCAGCCTGGGAGGAGATCCTGTGGTCGGGATCCAGCCTAGAACCTGGGAGTTTGACACCACTGATCAAGATGATCCTAGACTCATTCTTTTGGAGGCACAGCTTCCTGGCACTCATGTTCTGGCAGGAGTCCAACAAAACTCCATCTCAGTAATGCTGCCACTGACAGAACCAGCATTTTCTGTGTAAAATTTATAACCCTTGTGTGTCAGGTGGAAAGAACTGGCTGTTCACGTGAAAATTCCATGTCCACAAGGCTCTGATTGCATTGTTTTTATAGTGTTTCATGCTTGTTGCAAATTGGAACAATTATATTAAAATGCTCTCATTTTTTAATTTTGAATTTACTTAAATTCATGAATGAGTGAATGAATTCATAGTGGCATTGTTTATAGTCACCCCCAACACTCCACAAGCATTTTGCTTTCTGTTGAATTTCTTCTCCACATCCTTCATCTGCCCTTTGTCTATTGGGACTGCAAGGCTCACTGAAATAGTGGACATGTCTTTACAAGACACAATACAAAGCAATATACTTCAAAGTAAGTTAATTATGAATATAGCCTTATTCTAATAATTCTGATTTTTCAGATGCTCTAAAAAAGATAGTTTCTGTATATTTATGCTATGATTATTATTATAGGAATAATATGCATTAAGCAGTGGGTTTTGGTGGGGGGGGGACAGGGGGGAAGGTTTGCAATGGAAAGGACGCAACTTGTGGAATCCCTTCAAAGACCAAGACTTCTGCAATGCACCAAAGGTCATCCTGCATCTTGGGAGCTATATGCAAATATGTGGCTCTGTCTTTTAAAATATTTCTTAGAAACAAACAAAAAAACATGTTTAGATTTGACTCAGAACTAGCACAGCATACTGGCTGACTTCCTTTTCTCTTCTGGTTCTCATCTTAGAAAAATGCAGAGTTGTATAACCCCCATGTTATTTAGCAGTCACAAGAGAGAAATATTTTCTCACGCAAGTAGTTTAGTGCAAACCTGCAGGAAAGCCTTTTATCAAGGGCACTGCACAAAAATCATGTTGTACTGAACTGGGCCATGAGAACACACATCTACTGTATGTCATGATAGAGTGTGCTTTGTGGCCAGTACCCAAACAGCCAGCTTCACAGCTGCTCCGCCTTTCACGGATTTCAGAAATGTTGAAAACTGATTGCAATCTTTTGGATCTTAAAGTCAAAAGAAGATCAGCACACATGCATTCAATAAGCAGGGGACAAAGCTACAAGGAAGACTGCTATTGGTCGGAGCTGGCTCAAATAATTTTGAGTCACGGTCATGATCATAGGGAAGAGCAGCAATAACTTCTTTGTATAAAAATAAATAAAATTAAGCAGAAGAGTAGATGTGTAATGAAATAATCTAAAGAAAATAACCGTATGTTTTTCTTCCTTTTAATTCTGTTCAATGATAATTTCATGTTACAACATCAATGAAGCTGTCATTTCCAGCCCAGTGTAACGCTGGTATGATTCTGCTCCTTCTATGTACTGTATAGTCTTCTTTACTTAGAACTATCAATAAAAGGATACTGAAGAGGTCAACTTTTTTCCAAGCAGAGTGCACATGGAAACAGGATAGAGAGTTTAGTTCACAGTCAATGGAGCACTTCAAGGATTCCTGGTAACTAAGCATTTGACTTCAGGTAGAAAATCACTGCTTTATCAGTGACAGAAACTTGGCTGCATCTCCTCTTTGGAAGTGTCAGCAGGAACAGGAGAATGCCACTGTGATCCTACATACCGTGCTCACTACCACCAATTTACAGAGCTGTTTATTACCAGACATGGTTTGTCTCTCCCATTCTTTTTTCTTGGAAAATAATTTAAATCTACTTCTTACACAAAAGAACACTGTAGGTAATAAATCTGAGCATGCAAGTCAACTGCAGCTTGCCTCTTTGCAACATTTCCTCCTTCTCCAAGATGGGAATGGTGAAGCCACTGACTACAGTCATGTTTCATATAACCAGAACCACAGCTGTTGTTTTGGGGTTTGCTTGGTTTTTTTTTAAATCAATTAAACTCATCCAAGTAATGTGTGTGTGGAAAAATGTTTCTACATTTTAACTAATTCCCAGGGAAATGTGCTTGGAATCATCTGGAATGAGAGAATGCTCTTTCTACAACCTGAACTTTCTGAAATGCTTTTCTCAGACACTGTCAACATACTTGTGCAGCTGTGTTGAGACTCAACAGTGGCAATTTCCAAGTCTGTAGCCACACTGAGGAGACTAAATTTTTAGCTACGGTTACTCATAATGGCAAGTTTGCTGGTGCAGAGCAGTGACAGCACAACAGACATTGCCACTGATCTCCTTTCAGAATTCATGGCTATTTCTGGAGCTAATGCAGCAGTGTTTGGCTTTTTTTGGCTTCAACAAGGAATTGCATTCTTAACACCGGCATGAAAAGAAATTGGATTTGAGATACAAATAGTGGAAGCAATTACACTTTAAAACACTGCCTTATTCAGAAGCTTTTATTGATAGATGCCACAGAGAAACCATGACAAAGGGACTTGTTCTCCGTATCAGGTAGCGAGCAACAGAACATAAACAAAAACAGGTGCTTGATCTGCATATGTCATTACACTGACTGCACACGCAAATCGGTACCTGAAGACTAACAACCAGTTAAATGTTAACAAGACACTTGGATGCACATTTACCAGATGGGCTGTACTTGGTTCTAAAAAAAACAAACAAAAAACAAAAAACCAAAAACAAACCAGCTTTCCACTTTTCAGAGGGCTGACCAATGTTCCAGAGCTGCTTTGATTAAGACATTAACCACAACTTATTCGATCTCTGGACACACTTCTCCCTTTGCTGCTGCCCAGAAAACCTGCACTGCTTCCCAATCTTCTCAACAATCTGCACTAAACACTGCTCTCCATTGCCCTTCTCACCACAACCTAATGGACAGGGGGTTGCTATCACTTTCTAAAAGGGCTGCTTATCCTCTTATCTATTGTGATCCTAAACATCCTCACCCATGAGACAGCCTAAGCCAAAGGCCACTGGAATGCAATAAAAGTTAGCTCTTTTCTCTTGCTGAATTTTGGCACTTGTCAGCTTCTCCTCAGCACGGTGACATTTTCCTACACGCCACCATTCGCATTTTTCAGTACAGCCATACACAAGCGATGTCTCACCCTGGGTGGCAGTGGAGACCATCACCGTCCCTGCACCCCCTCTATATCAGCACTCGGGGCTGGTGCCCTGCTCACCCACCCCTAGTGATGCTACTGTTTCTCAGAAAAAATGCAATAAGAAAGGTGGTAGGGCTACAGTATAAGCTAAGTCCTGTCTGTGTTTAAGTGGCATTGAGGGAAGCGGAAGTGGCAAAGAGATACCCCTTAAAATATTCCAGAGACTGGAAAAGGCAGGGTTTAGTTTATTTCTCCATCAATGTAAGTGTTCTCTACAATATCTGTCCTACTGCTTTGTCCACTCCGTTTTTATAATCCCCTGAATAACAATTCTCCATTATTTTCCTTGAAAGATTGAGTCTAAAATCTCACTGTGCAGAAGATCTTCCTGATAGGCTGCTTCAATCTTCCATTTCATAGAAACAAAGGGACATCAAGGATCACACCTAGTCCAACCCCCCCACACAGATGCAGAATATGCCCTAGAAGAGAAGTCTTTTCTTAAAAACCTCCAAGGAAGGGGATTCCACAAGTCATGTACACAATTTGTTCCACTGAATTCTTGTTCATTGGAAGTTTCTTCCTGAAAGTTCATCTAAACCTGCTTTGTTACAATTTAAACCCAATGCAATGTGTCCTGCCTTCTGTGGCTAGAGACCAAAGTTATTCTCAGTCTTCTTTGCAGCAGTCTTCTGAATACTTGGAAACTATCAAGGTAGTCTCTTAACCTCCTTATCTTCAGGGAATCCAGTTTCCCTGTATTGTTCTTAAAATGCAATGTCTCAAACCTGGCCATAGTACTACAGCTCAGTCCTAGCCATCCGAGAGAAGAGTGGTACTGGGACCGATGTATGCAAGACATGTCTCACACCCAATGCTTCTATTAATGCAACCTGAAATCACATTCATTTTCTTATGATAGCATCAAGCTGCTAACTCGTGTTGAATCTGTGATCCACCATAACCACCCCCAGTCCTTCTTTGCAGTTCTTTTCTATACCGCCTCAAAAATTCCTGTCTCAATCAGTAGTTACAGCCTTCAAAGCACATATTAACTATTACATTCCCACCAAGTCACAGCCTGCCCAAACTACATTTAGTAGCTTTCATGTTCTGCCACAGATCAGAGGGGAGGAGTTTTGTGCCCAGGAGTGCCATTCGTTGCACCATAAGATGCTTGCCTTGCACCTGCCCAAGAACAGCTCTCATCTCTCACAGGCTCCCTCACATTTGGAACATTTTAGATTACCTGAAACTGTGCACTGATGCTGGGGGGTTTCTTCTTCTTATGGAGATGGAGAAGAGACTTTGTAATGCGATCATGCAGGGTCAGGTTGGTTAGGTGCTTCAGAGATTTCACATCCAACAAGTGCTGCAGAATATAAAATAAGAGTGCGTTTATTTGCTTGCATTTCAGATAAAAATGACTAGCCAGGTTTTGTCCATTATGGTCTCCCTTGCTATCCCCACTTCTCTTGCTCTCTACCCTTTGGGGTAACTGCCCTAATTCAATATCCCCTGGGAAAAACAATGGAACAATTCACAGCACAGCTGGATATTTTTATTAGTATCCTTATTATGGTATCCAGAAGCCCAGTTCTGCTGGATACTACACACACACAGATGAAGTGCCTGCTCCTTTGAGTTTACAATCTGGATTTGAGCAGGACAAAACCAGTTTGTGCAGAGCATAAGGGAAGGGGGAGGGGAGTGACAATAATAGGAGTATATGGCTTAAGAGATTACTTTCAGCATGTGCAGTTCACAAGCTTGAATACGCATGCAAGTTTTAAACTACAGGACATCATCCTTGGTGCTCAAAGCTAACTAACAGCTTGACAGTTTAGCTTTAATGTGCTTTGTGCTTATACCAAGAGGAATGCATTACTAAAAATTAAGAATGATGACAAGTATAGTTCAGTACCTAATTCAAAGCATAAAATGTCAGTAAGTAATGTTCTAATAGCAAAAAAATAACTTAATGATGTAGCTCAGAAACAGCCAGTGTCCCCAGCCTCCCAAAATGTACCCTGTGGATATCTGCCATTGTTGTGAGAGGTGTGGGTGTGAAGAATGCATATTACAGCTTGATCCATTCCATTTAGATCACACTTTCTTTTCCCATTGGCATCTATACTGCACTCTATGATCTGATGCCATGCTGAGATTATACATTATAATGGAAACAGCCAATAAAGATAGACATTACAACTGTACTGTTCAGATTAATCCACTCAAGACTGTTCAACTCTGACTACTTAAGTACCCAGGCTGCCCTACTAGAATACACATGCTTGTGCTCCCAGGAAGTTGCTAATGGGATGCTTAACTGGGTGAAGTTTGGGTATTCCTACATATCAGTACACAGCTGTCTTGCATTTACAAACTAAAATTTGAGTACCACAAGGAGTTTGATCATTTGCCAGTTATTTTAATTGAGTGTTAACAACAATAGTTAATTAGAACCACTGCAAAACTTATCACATGCATGGAGAAAATGAGCTCCTGGAAGTAATTAGCAAGCCTTGAGGTTTCATTCCAGTAGGAAACTGTTGATGGAAAACATGCGCTTTGCAGCAGTAGCAAAGTGTTTGATTTAGGTCATGGCTTTGACTCAGATAACATGTGTGAGAGTGTTAGGGGAAAGAAACTCACAAGCAGTGTTCTGAGTTGCTCAAAATGCCTACATAAAAACATCAGTGGGAATTTGAGTCAATTTGGTTTAATGAGAAGAAAAAGAAGATGATCAGTTCATCTAGTTCAACCCACTGACATACAAAATGCCCTCGCCAGATACTTCATGGATACTTCATTTCACCCCATTTGTTAACCATTGTTCCTATAAATATCTCAGGGTAAAAACATATGTTGCCACACTAAGTGGATGAGCTGTGGCAAAAAAGTCCCACCACCGCTGATCTCCTTTAGTGGATGAAACATGTCTCCCGTTGCTCTGGGCAGGGGTCTGATACAAGACAATGGGCAATGCGTTTCCCCTTGCCCAGTGATTCCTCATATCCTTCACTGCCCTGTGCCCTCTGTGCCTACTTGCCAGGGGACCCATGCTTCACATGAAGGCAGAGGTTGGTGTGGATCCTGGGGAATTCCTAGCAGAGGAAACGTGGGGCAGTGCATGTCCTGGGGAATTCCTAGCAGCTTTGCTTGCATGCTGGGACCTATGCAGAAGCATGGGACACTGGGAATTCTCTGGATCCTGTACCACCCTGTGCCTCCTTTAATGGTGGAACAAAAGTAACATCCAGTGATCTCAGTGCAATTTGTACTTTTAAAAACAATAAAATGAAAGAGACAAAGTAACTGGAGGTGGTTCCATTCTTTTTTCCAGAGGAAAAGCTACTTTTTTTTTATTCATTGCTAATAAAAGCACAAATAAGGGTTGCACCTTTATCAAAATATTGTTCTTTATGGTATACACCCTCTGTGGTACTCCATGTTTATATTTTGCTGTTTATTTTTAATTAAACATAATTCTTATTGTAACGGACACAGCAAAAACTATCACACGCTGACTACCAGGGCAGCATCAGTAAATGATTATAAAAAGCCATAAGTGTGTTAGGTGGCAGACAACGCATCTCTTCTTATCTTATACCTTTGGGCACCAAAACCCAGCCAAAATTGAAGGCAATAGCAGCAGTGTTACACAGGCACCTTACCCAGAATGAGAGCTACAAATCAAATGTAGTGCTGTAGGACTGTAATTAAAATGGAATTAACCGATCACAGATTTTTCCTATGAGAGGAAACCTGCACTGTCCAGGTAAAACAGTCTGCTCTGGACATCAAATCCTAATAACTCTCCTATGGTCTGTGAGCATTTCTCTTCCAGTTTATTCAGATTTATCCAAAGAGGGCCCAGCAAACATGGAAGCAGAGATATAGCAAACTCATTTAGCATGGTGGGGAGGGGAGAGGGAGAAGGGCACGTTGGCCATGGTATGCCTGGGGTAGGAGGAGGAATAGCGAAGGAAAGAGTGGTCTTACCTGCCCAGCATCTCTGCATCGGGAACACAAGTGCTACTCCTAGAGAGCCCATGCAGCAGTAGCAGAGAGTGAGAGGGTCTCGCACAGGAACTCCATGCTGTGGGCTCCCTTGGAGTTGTACCAAATTTGCTACTGGATGTAGGGTAGTGAAAAAAACTCCCCAGGGAGAGTGAAGCACCATTCTACTTGCTCCCCCCTCCACCCTGATGAATAATTGTGGGGTGCAGGGGGCTCTTATGGCCAGGTAGTGGCAGTGCAGGGCTGCCCCTGCCCTGGTAAAGACTCCCAGGGTAGTTGTGAGAAATCTGGCAGCCCTTCATAGGCACCCTGCTGGCTCCACCCTAGTTACACTACTGCATGGATGCCCTTCTCCCCCAGCTGCAGGGGCCAGACCTTGTCTTTGCTGAATTTAAAATGGAGATTGAACAAAATAGTGTATAGTATCTGTGGTTGAAGGGCCCCACTGCCTAGGCAGTTCTCTTCCAGGATGAGTGAGTGCTGGTGTCACTTTATTATAAGTCTGCTAAGTCTCGTCTGCGTGATGCAAAAAAACCCCTGAACCCATCAGGCTGGAGCCAATTTAAATAGCTCTCAAATTGCGGTTGCAGCTTGGCGAACCACATTTTAGAAATGAACAAATAACTTTGAACTGGTCCCCTTTCAAACTATCGTTACGTATTATATGCAAGTTAACATTTAACCAAAGTAACTGCTTCCTTTCAAGCTTGAGGAAACAGAGAGATAAGTACTGCTGTTCTCTCACCTTTGGAAGACTGAGTTTAGCTTTGAAGTTCTTGTTTCGCCTATGGAGACAACAAAAAGTCATATTAATACAGGCATAAAGCTACAGAAATGCATTTATGTATCTATTCCAGAGCTTTCGTATTAACCCTCTAACAGGAGATCTCAGCTTCTGTCATGAGGAAGTCTTTGGCATTACCGGCAATAGTCAGCGTGACCTGGTGTGAAAGATTTGAAGCTATTTGAGCTAAAAAAATATATGTAAGAGGTATAAAAATATTTTTAGCAGAATGGTTACAGGGGTGGATCCAGTGGAGCAGATGTACCCCTGCTCTTTCAGTCAACCACACTGCAGGAGAAGCAGCTGAAGCAAGTAAGACTTCCCCCACGCTCCCTCCTTGCTCAGTGGTACTTCTCCCCCGACCACTGTTATTGCAGACACGTGGAAGAAAACCAGCCTGCTGCCACTGCTGTTGTCTAGCTGAGCTTGGCTCCATGTGCAGCCTGGCTTCAACAAGGCATCAGCAGCCTTGGAGCCCCCTGGTTCAGCAGGGAACAGTGGCAGCAGTGAGCAGAGGAAGGAAAGGAGTATGCCACTGAGTACAGAGGAGAAGGGGTAGGGAAGATTCTTACCTGCTTGAATGGCCTTAAAAAAAGTCCCTTATTTCTGTTCCCGCGATGAGATCTGCCTACCCTGGTGTGGGAAGGGAGAGACACCGGGAGCCAGGGTGCAGTCATCCCTGCAGCACAGGGTGCTGCTCTCACACCCCCGCTTTCCAAAAGCCTGGATCCGCCCATGAGGATACACAACAGTAGATAACACAATCCCTTCAAACCCTCCATAGCAATGTTTTTCTATATATAACCTGTATAATAAATGAGATTACTCTCCTTTCTGCATATCATTTGTGTGCGTGTGAAATGAAGTACAAAGGTAAGGAATTCCAATTAAATTGGGTTGACATAGCAAACTGTGGGGTAGCTGGTCCTTTGTGCAAAATGGGGAGAAAGGAACAGAAATTTATCCTCCAAATTATAACATCATGCTCCATAACTCGCATCCAGGCTAGTCTGGCATCTTTAGAAACCTATGATGCAGATACACTATGAATTGCCAATGTTGGTTAAAATATGGCCACCTACACCTCTCAAACTGAAGCAAAATACTCCATAGCTAGTTGCAGTGACTCAGTCAAAGGAAGTCTCAATGTCATTTTCCTCTAGTGCCACCATCACTCTCACATCTTTTGATTAGCATATTTATTATGAATGTAGATCCATTTCTCCAGCCAAAAAAAAAAAAAATTAAAGGAGGAAAGAAATACTAGCCAGCAAGCCCTGAATGATAAGAAATGGAGCATGTCATGGTCATAATAAACACCTGAGCCTCTTTGATAAAGATTTGGCATGTCCAAGTCCACTTGGAACTTGAACTTGTTGGATTAGTAGTAGATTTCCTTACTCTTGCAGTTCATATTTTTGTTATGACCTTTGAAGTGCAGTACACCTTACAGATTGAAACCAAGATCCACTCCTTTTATACTAACATGAGAATCCCATGGGCCCTCTCCAGTAGCTTGCTGTTGGTTGAATTAACAAATATCCCATCTTTGTCTAGGAAGGAACTAGGACTGGAGAGTCTGCCCTGTCGGATCGCCATCCTGGCATTCCAGCCAACTCCATAGGCATCACTGAAATGAGAAAGAGATGAGTCGCAACATGCACTTCTAAAACATAGTTATCACTTGGTTCCTTAAGAAAACAAAGCTAGTTGTTGAATATCATTAAAAAGTTCTGAATTGGAAGGTTATGCAGTTTCTTAAATGAGAAGACAAGTGACATTTCTCCTTGTCACTAGTCATTCACTTCTGCACCGTAAGTTCATAATGCCAGGCCTCAAATGCAGACACAACATCTGTTAAGCCAGATTTTTAATTGAGATCGATAGATAGATCGATCAATCTCACTATCGTTGGCTGATCAGGACTAGAGTATTCTCTCATTTACAGGATGATGCACTTCATCAGCTGTTGAAGTTAAGGAGTATCCAAAAATATATGCATTTAAAACTCTGCCTAGTTCTTTGTTCCCTAGAGATATTGTTTAACACTTTGGATGGCAGACAAAATGTGTGTTTAGTCAAATATTCCCTGTTTCATATAGCCATTTAGTAGGGAAGGTGAAGAGAAAGGAAAGGACAGAAGACACTGTGGGAAAAGGAAATGCTAGAAATGGAAGAGCCCAATACCTAAAGGACGGATGCACTTCAAAGAAAATGTCTGACAAAATGAGCAAACAGAAATGACAGATCCAACTCTTCCTGCTCTGTTACATAGCAGTGTGCTTTGATATCAAGAAAATGATAAACTCAGCTATGTATGGTCCCAATTGAAGGAATGGAGAAAGATGAATTAAATTTCCTTTTGGAGGGAGAAGAAACTTTGATACAACGCTCTCTAGAGATGAATGACAGAATACCACATCTGTAGGTAATTTTCCCCTCAGGAACTGGGCAATGGTACGGGGGCAGGGGAAGATGTGAGAAGGGGAGGAAGAGAGCAAGAAAGGCTAGATGAGCCCGAAGAATGTGACAGAGGGGAAACGGGGCCTGAAGTGTGCAGAAGCGCTGAATGGATACACAGTGAGACAAAATGAGTGGACACTCGGAGAAGCACATCTGGTAGTTGTAAGTACCCAAAAGGATCACCTCCAAAACCAATGCTCTGTTCACAAATCTTGCGAGAATGGGAATCAAACAAGCTGAAAGAATACCCTAGCAATCAATCAAGTGGAGAGATGGTTCCTATGAGCGAGAATCCTTTAATCTACTGGCTGTAATACATCCTTTCAGTCCCCTGCCTGAGGAAGGCGAGATGGACAAAATCCATACCCTACCAAAAGGGGATGGATCCACAGTGCTGGGTGGGCAGACACCTTCCTGGTTGATAACTATCAGACCACAATTGCAGAACAGGCATCCTCTTTCTTTCCCAGGCCCTTTAAGAGAAGACCACCATCATATATATATACACACACAATAACTTTGCAGGCGTGTTCCTTATCTCAGAACAGGAGTGGCATAGCTTCTTATGGAAAAGGCTTTGGCCCCAACAAGACATTGTAATGACTCTACAGGTGACAGTAATTCATACATATTTGAAAATCACCACCTGAATCTGATGATCAGACACAGAGGATTTGTGGGAGAAAGTTAGGAAGGGCTTCTAAAGCTGGGAGCCAAAATAGGCTCATTAGCAGAGTACCTGTTGGAGGGGAGAGCAGAGAATTAGCTGTTATCTCAAGGTAAAGGAGCCCTAAGCAAGACTTACCGAGTCTACCTACCATCCAGAGAAAGAGAATGATACTGGAAACAAAATCCAGGTGTACAAACATGGAACAGCAAACGGTCACTACTTGGCTTTTCCGTCTTTGTTTTACACGTAATCTGCCAACGCTAAATTTCCTACAATCCTACCATCATTATGATAGTTGGTTTTTTACATTCTGGGTTGAAACAGCACTTAGTCACAAAGAGAATCTCCATCAAGTTTGCAACGAGGATTTTAAAACAATATTAAAATCAGAAACATTTCCAGGTGACTTTAAAAATAGACTCTGTGGTAATTTTAATCCCTTTGGGTGCATGTGCACTGGCAATAGCTCACACACCCGCAACTTGTGTCACTGAGAGGGTTAATCATCTCACAAAGCCAGCCGAGCTGTTGGAAGGGAGACAATGATCTACAGCTGTTGTTATTCACATTTCTTAAACCATTAATGAACATAAAACAGTTTCTGTTGTACTGAAAATACAGCCACCCCGTCAAGCTTGGGTTAGTGATATCATGCTTTTAATTATTTAGTGGCTGCTTTAGGCAGTTTTAAAGGCAGGGTGTCTCTCTCATGCTTTGGCGAAGCCTTTTCCCCTCCAGCTGCCATAATATGCATGTGGAAACCACATAACCACTTTCTTTGGAGGGGAGCTGGGGAGCAAGGATTGATCAGTAATCCCCTCTGCAGCTACTTCCTGCATGATGTCATTGCTTAGCTTAGCTTTCAGAAGGATGCCTCAGACTATACTGCAGGGCTGGATCTATGCCCTGTTATCACCAGCCATATGGTAATAAGATAGATATAAAAAGGAAACTCCTGGTTTTAATTTAGGTCCAAGAAAATGCTTAATGAATAACACATTAAGAATCAGAAGACCATCACTCTATTAATTTGCAGGGGAGAACTGATTTAAATTGGTACATTTTAGTTACAAAAAAAAAAAAAAAAAGCCTTTTATTAATTCGTGTTATACTTTTCTGAGTGTACTTTTCTGGATTCCTGTGTATCGTTATCTTTATTTTTGTAGGTACAGCTTTCCATGCAACTTAACCTATATGATCAACATTTCTCTTCAACAGAAACTAAACTGTAATGTCTGAAATTAAAATTGCACGCACGCTCGATCACTACATTTGCGTTTAAACATATAAAATGTTACTGATTTTTCCTTTTTGGAGCACGAGGGAAATAAGACATTTAGGGTTTGGGGGTTTTACCATCTGTAGCGGAATTATAGATTGTACATTGTAAGTCTATACTAATGGTACAATATTAAGAGATGCATGTACTAGTTGTGATAGCTTGATAAGCACATTCTCTACTCATCACTGTACAAATTCTAGTACAGTTAGTAAAGCAAGGCTAAGTTCTCATACTCAGGTAGCTTTAAGCACTACAGTTAAAAAATTATTATGGCACAACTGCTGTGGATACAAGAGAGGCTATCACTGGTAATGGAAGATGGCAAGGTACTTACTACCCTTTTACCTTAATCTTCCGGTGGCTTTGACTTTCAGAGAATGTATTTGCTATTTTGGCTTCTTTTAATCCAAATAAACTCAGGAACGTACTCCACACCAAGAGGCAATAAATAAATACAAGCATTTTTCTTGGTCCCCCGTTACTCCGATGTGGAAATAGGGATTCCACTGCACTTACTGTGAATTTCAAGGAAATACCTTCTATAACAAACCTGAAATTTGTCCTCCAAGATAGTGCTGTCACATTCTGTACTAGGAAGACTCTGGCAAACCACAAAACTTAACTCTGAAGATCTTTAAAAGGGGAATTATAGTCAGAAGAGCGTGCAAAAATGCCACCATCCTACTCAACAGATCTGCTGTGTGCGTCAGAACCGGATCTGAAGACTTTTGGAAAATAAGCTGTCTCATTTAAGCCTGCGGAGACAAGACAACTGTAGAAACATGAGTTGGAGTCATGGGTAAAGCAACTTCCTTTACAGCTAATTTCTGACTGCAGATTTTTTCTTACCTTTAAAGAAACATTTTGTGATGGACAAAGACTCTAATTAAGTGTAAACATAACAAAAAATAAACCTTGTGCAGCCAAAGTGAATACAGAAATGTTGAATGGCAGATATGCGGCTCTTATCTTCACTATCCACAAACACTACACCACCTACATTAAACGCATTGTGGTTGGAGTTGAACTGGTAGGAAATATAAAGGGATCAAACAAACAAGGGCACTAGAAAGATATTGGCATTTTCTTCCCACAAGGATGGAGTTATTTCCAATAACCAAAACAAGGCTTCTCTAGAATATGGCCACTCCGTAAGTATTCAGCTCTACATTACCCAGTGAAGCAGTGTGTGGAAGAGCAGACAATAACTTTGTACGTGTGTTTTTTCTCTCAGCCCAGGAGTGGCATAGCTTCTTATGGAGAAGTCCTTGGCCCAAACAAGACAGTACTGACTCCCAGTATAAGCCTAATTCATACATAGTTGAATCCAAGCTGGATAACACCATTTTGTGGAATTATTTTCTTTTTTGGCACTGAAAGTAAGCCAACTCACTTAAGAGCTTGAGAATTTTTAAGTCTTTTTTTCGACAGAACTTCATGGCCTTCCTGACATTAAAAGTATATAGCTACTTCAGCTGTACTGGAAGAATACAAGGAAGTGAAGATATTCTACTTTATCTGGAAATTAGTAAGTACTTGATGAACAAAAGATGATGATACCTAGCTGTCTCTGTCCCAATGAATAAAAGAATGGAACTTTAATAAGCAAAGGCTTTTATCTAGGACATGCTGCGCACATAGACATCAGTCAAAAGGAACAATGGTTTATGGACAACTGTAGAGGAGTATTCTGCACAGGTTGAAAGAAATCTTAACACAGAGCCCAGTGCTAAAAGACCAGATCCTCTGAATCATTATGATTATACTTGGAGAAAACCACAAGGAGTAAAAGTGGCTTTTAGCCACACTGATGCTTCCACATTTTGGTCTGCCCTGGTGCTATCTGGTCCTCTGGTGGAAATTAAAGGAAATTCATGACTGCTGTACCTTACATTCAGAAACTCCACGTAACTCTTTCTGCAAGTGAGGACTGATGAAATACTCTGGGGTCAGGCCTCTTATGCTGAAGACGAGAAGAGAGTGAACAGAGCAGAAAGACTATATTGCCTCAAAGCAGCTTGAAGAGAGGAGAGAAATCAGGACCTATGATTTGTCTTCTAGGGAGGAAGGGTTTGTCTGGCAGGAGTCTTAATTCTGAAGATGGATCTGAATAACCCCTCATGAAAGGGAAGCAGGCAGCAAAGCTGCTTCTGACATGCAAACCTGACACTTTAAATGAGCTACATCTTCACTGAATCCTTGCTGGAAAAGGCCAAGTGCTTTACTGAAAGCACATTTCATAAGCTTACCAACTAATTGCAGTGATAGAATTGATCCAAGACCCACAACTAACAGAGCAAAGCAGAAGATCATCTGCACTTTACAACAGTTTAAACCATCATCAGACATACACTTACGTTTGCAGTCAGTCCCTTGACATTTCTTTAGCAAATGAACCTGTACAGTAGCCAGGAACTTGAAACCAACACCTCAAAACTCTGCAACTCTTTGGATGCTCCACACAAAGCTGTGCATAGGAGCTTTCTGTGTAGTGCATCCCTTTTATATACACAGATTTTTGTTCAAAATAAAATTGTGGGTGAAGTCTGACCTCCTGACCACCTATAACCAAGATATTTTGCAGCTAAATGTTGAAGATGGAAAACCCTGACACCTCCTAACAATATTTTATAGCCTGCTCCTTATAAGCCCTCAAACTTCACCATGTGCAATTACAGAATGCTCCTCAGAAGTTACCATCATTTCAAATTCTTACCGTCAAAAAAGATCTAAAGATATCCTCATGCAACAAGAAGAAAGGAAGAAGGGGCTGAATACTGACATAAAAAGTTAAGACTGGAAGAGACATTTACACATTTTCAATGCTAGAAAGAAGTTCTCTCCTTATTTCCTTTACCTACTAATCAGAAGAGCAGACTTACCGGTGAGTCCTTTCATTGATGGTATTGACTCCCTGAAGATCTGAAAGAGGTGTCCTTGGGCTTTTCCTGGTAATACCTGTGGCAGCACAACAACATAAGTTTTTATATCTGTTTACATTTTTAAATACTTAATTTCAAATATTCTCTGTGGAAGAGAGTGATTAGTGCAAGCAACAGCTTTGTGTTGGCTGCAAATGGGGGAAAAAAGGGAATATGCACTTGTTATGGCACATGCTGGGAATGCAAAATAAGGGGTGCAAGGAGGAGTCATGGCTGCTGAAATCTCAACCGACTACTCACTTATCACATTTTTTGCTAGCATTTTTATTTCCCCAATCTTCCTTTTCCTCCCCACCCAGTCCTACACACGTGCAGTGTGTTAGAGGGGTGTTTCCATTGTTAGAAAGCAAGAAGAGGGGGAAACTGTCAATCACTGTCATGATGGGTATAAGTAAGGTACCAGTGCACGTTATTTCCTGCTGGTCAAAAAACTTTAAAGCCGTAACACTGGGGGGAGGAAATGATATGTAATGATTAGTAGCTTCCTTAAGAAGCTGAAAATCAGGTGGATATGAGAAAGAGAGAGTTTACCACAACCTATTACGTAAACAGCATTTTTTTAACTGGTCACATATCCCCACTTTCTCCTCTTCTGGGCAATGAATGCACATAAGCAATACACTGACATGGGGGGAATAGGAGGGAGTCTCATCTCTTGCCAAAACTGAAACCTGATATTAAGACGTTTAATATCTTATGTCTGATAAATGCATGAAGAAAGAAACACCTAACAGCGCTGCAGATCTGACAGAGGCTTCAGCTGCAGATGCCCAAAAAGAGGATACATTTTGAGTGCAAATACATTTAAAAGGAAGGGGCGGGGGTGGAAAATGTCTTTGCAGACAACAAAATCTAGTTCATAACTCAACCTAAAACAACGCATAGCTCACATTCCACCTACATGTATTGCAAAACAGACTACTGAAAGCCTGGAAAATAAGGGGGAGTCCAGCAGTCTCAGTAAAGACTTCTGCTATTTCAGCCCTGCCATCTCAATGCTTAATGAACACTGCTTACAGTTCTGTCAGTGCTGTGGTATTAGCAGTCCCAAACTAACAGGCTTCCCACATTTTCAAGGCATTCAATAATGGCCCTGAAACTATCAGAAGCTGTGAAAATGAGGGGAGCTAGCCAGTTTGGGGATTGCTAACACCCCAGCACTGACAGCCCTGGATGCTTACCTAAGGAGCATATTTCATATTAAGTTTGGAACAGGTACATACATAACTTTTTCCAGCCCCAAGGGTTAGGCACTTAAAAGGGAGTAGATACTATTTAGAGACCCTATGACTTGCATATGATTATGAAAACAGCTAAGCAATTCCTTAGCAGTCCTGAAATCCTTCCTGTGTGTCAAGTAAAATTTTGGAATTTGCAGAATCACCTATCTCCTCTCTTGCACATCAATGGCATGTACACAAGTATATGTTCCTCTGCTATATGGAGTAAAGTAGGAAACCCCAGGAAGTAAGAAAGTCTGTCTTGTCTTTTGCAATAAAATATAGGAGTAAATGCAATGACACTCTCTTTTTTTAAAAAAGAAGAGATAATCTAGGGTCAGTGAAACGAATGTTCATAGTTCCTAGCCATTGAATAGATCCTTTCTAAAGGTAAGCACAGGGAAAAAGAGATATCTTACTCCTGAAGAGAAAGAAGCAAACTTGTAGCTGAAATACCCCATCTGATACCAGTTAAAGAACGACTTTTACTTGGGCTTTGCAAAAGAAAGCACTTAGACAGGGGCAAGCCACTAAACCTCATAGATCCTCAGAATCTTGACTATCAAGCAGTTTCCCTGG